TTGACACCCTCTCTGAGAATGGATAGCATTTCCAAACTAATTTGCTTAAGCCATTTTGTATAAACATTTCAGAACAAAAAGTTAGCAGTGGATCCCCTCCTTTTAGCCTCATGATTGTAGCTCCAACTTCAACAAAACTTAGAAGCAACTCATGAATCTCTTCTTGCAAAACCCATTAATGCCAGGCAAACCAATATCTAAAATCCAATTTGAATAATAACCAAAACAAAATCTTCACAAAAAAATAAAGAAATATAGAAACCCACGATTTCCATCGCATGAGAAGTTTAGAGAAGAAAAACAAAAAATATAAATTTCATCTTAGAGACCCAAAATAAAAACAGGAAAAGCATGCAATCCGTAATTAAGATCCAAAAAATGGGCATTGGATTTGTACTGTCGATTTGGAGTTCAGGGTAGAACTCTGGCTTCAGAACCATTAGAAGGAGAAAAAAGAAGAAGAGGAGGAGGAGGAAGAGCTTACCACAGGTTGGTTCCATGCCATTAAAAACGGTTGTGTAGGGTTTTGCTGAAGGTCTTCTCACTTAGTAGGGCTAGGGATTGGATGAGAGAGCATAGGAGGGGAGTTTGACTGAGGCTTCCAAATCGTGTTTTGGAATCTTTCAGAATGGGATTTTGTAGTTGGGGGCTTAAGAACATTTTAGTCATAAAAATATGTTTAATATGGATGACTCACCATTCAGGGGCAGTTTGGTCATGAAAATTGCATTTATGCTGACATGGACAACTTTTGTCAATGAACACTAATGGTGCTCTAATTGATGGTGAGTTTTAGAAAACAAAATCTCATTGTCATGGGGTTCCCTAGAAGCTTTGAAAAGTTATGGTGCATTTAAGAGAAATGCTGAAAAGACATGGCGAGTTTTAGACAATTTCCCATAAAAACATCTTTTTGCCCAATTTACAAGTTGGGCGTCAGGCTTTATAGGAGGGCCTGGGCTTGGGCTTAAGGTCTAGGTCCGTTGGTTAGGCTGGGTCCGAGATCAAGCTTGAATGTATTATGTTAATAAAAGAGGCAAAGCCTAGCCCGAATCCGGCCCGTGAACAAGTCTAGTGGTGCTTATCCACTCACTAGTGTGTTATATGCAAAGCCAACAATGAGAGCTGCTTTCACTTACTAATCTCCTGTCCTATTGCTATTGGTATTTGGGAATGGTTTTTTCCTGTTCTTTGGCTGATGTGCCAACTGCCAAGCTTGTTTGCTCCAACATTTTTTGCCTAGCCAAAGAAAAGGGGAAGGCTTATGTGGAGATGCACAAGGATAACAATAAATTGGATGATTTGGGAAGAAAATAATTCAAGAATTTTCATGGAAAAGGAAAGGAGCAAAGAAGCCATTATTGAGAACATTATGATTAGGGTGGCACAATGGCTAAAATCTATGGAAACCTTTTCACAACTCTCAACGAATGACATCCTTAGAAAGTGGAAGGAAGTGGCTGACTCATCCACAAATAAGATTATCAACAATCGTTTTTGGTCTCCACTGGAAAGAGGATTAATAGAGGTTAATTTTGATGGAAGTAGTTTGGAAATCCAGGGATGTCAAAAATAAGAGGGGTGTTTAAGGATGATGAAGGCCAAATAATTGCTCTGTACTTAGGTAGTTAGGTCCTGTAGAAGTAGGTGACTCTCTAAGGGTGGAAGTTATGGCTATGCTGGAGGGAGTACAAAGGGCAAGAAATTTGAATCTAAGAAAGTTGGTTATTGAAGGAGATTCAAAATTAGTAGTCGGATGGTTACAAACAAGGTTCAAAATTTCACAATGTGTTAGGTTGTATCAGTCGATATGTATCGTTCTGACAAAGGTCTGATACATGGAACATGTGCAAGTCATGTGTTGCATTCCTTTTCGTGTGTTTGAATCGATACGGGCCCGTATTGGCCCTTTTTGAGTTTGTATTGGCTGGTATGGGCCTGAAACAGTCCGATACATCCCGATGCACTTAATTTGTTTTGGGTCCCCCCTCTCTCATTAATTTGTTTCGTGTGTTCGAATCGATACGGGCCCGTATTAGCCCTTTTTGAGTTTGTATTGGCTGGTATGGGCCTGAAACAGTCCGATACATCCCGATGCACTTAATTTGTTTCGGGTCCCCCCTCTCTCATTAATTTTGTTAATTTATATTTGAGGCCAAATTCTCTCATTAATTAGTTAATTACTCCTATATTTAAGTACAATTTCTCTCTCATTAATTAGTTAATTACTCCTATATTTAAGACATATTTTCAAATTTGAATTTGAATTCTAGCACCTAATTTGAATTCTCATTAATCTCATTTGTTACTCAATTACACAAGCCATTGATTTTAGTTCTTATAATTGTTAGAATATAAACTACAAACTTTAGCAATAGCAAGATTTGAACCTTGGTCATTAGGTTTTAATGACCATAAGTTCACCACTAGACCACACTCCATTTGTTTGTTATGGTCATATGCTTTTTTATTTTTAAGTAAATTTTCTCTTTTCTTAGTGGATGGTTGTCAATAAATGCTAAAATTAATTATTAAATTTATATATTCTTAAATATTAAGACAAGTTATATATTGATTTTTTTGAAAATTAATTTATATACATACACAATTTAGTTCTTCCATAATTTTTGAACGGTCACTAATTGCGTCCCGATATCTCACTTTATATAAACCATAAAGTATAGGTTTTTACATTTAAATAACTTATTTGCAATAATATAAAACTTGTAATTCATAAAAAAAAATAATATAAAACTTGTAATTGTTGTTATTTATATATTTTTTTAGGATTTATTTGAGTTTCCAAGCATATGCATGCGTATCTTGATTTTTTCTTCGTATCCATGTGTATCCAAAATGTATCCTGATATGTCTCTTAAAATTGCCTTTCTGATACACCTTGTGTTCCTGATACTATGAACCTTGGTTACAAAATGAGGATGTAGGGATGTGGAACTACGACAATGAGAGAGAAATTTAGATGGCTGACAGAAGACTTAGAAGTGAGGCTACATTGGGTCAAAAGAAGTTCCAATAGTTTGGTAGATTCTTTAGTCAAACACTGGTGGGAAGAGATCAAATGTTTTGGGTTTAGTTGTAAAGATCTTTTGGGGAAGAGTGTTTATCTCTCATTGACTATATAACTTTGTTCTTCTTACTGATTTTTTTTAATAAAAGCACGATTATTGATAAAAAAAGCTGGGGGAGATTGTAAAATGAGAACATATAAGTGGGATTATCTTATCCACTAAGTCCCATATGATAGTCCTTATGAGGTCATGTCCCTAGTTGCTTCAACATTCAAGTGGGAAAACTCTAGGAGGACAAATAAGGATTAAAGAAGCATAGTCTGCTTTAGTGATTGTGGTTATAAAAGTTTTTTCATCTAAGCCATGTTTTACCTTCAGGAAAAAAATGATGGAAGGTAAACAGGGTGGCCTTTATTTCTATTTTCTGCATGTTCAAAACTGACTTTTATCTTCTAGCTGCTTACCTTTTTTTCCCTTTTGTTCTCTTCCATCTTGTTTAGAGAGAGAGAGAGAGAGCAATTTTCTTTAGCCCTTGGTGTAGATGTGAATGTAACTCAAAAGCATTTTTCTTAACATGGTTGTGTTATAGGTCTATGTTTTGGTTCAAAGTTTAGGCCAGCCCAAGGCCCAAAATATGAGTTCGGATTTGGTTTGGGCCTAGACCTGGCCTGAACCCAAAGTTCGAGTTTGGACCTCAGGCTGGGCCAAGCTCAAACCAGAAGAGCCCAACCCAATGCTCAACTCTATCATTTAAGTCCATCCAAGATCACCAATCCTAAGTGGTCTTCATTTGCCAACTCAATAGTATCAAATTTGAACTTGATAACATCCAAATTTCCATGATGAGAGGAGGAAGGGATTTTGTGGGTTGCATGAACTCCACTCTCAGAGAAAAGGATCTTGAAATGAGTTGGCAGTACCACTCTGATAACAGAGTCCAAAAAGATGTCCTTGAGATCCATGCCTCCATCATCAAGACCCAATCAGTGACTTGAGCACAAAGATAGTGCCAATTTCACAACTTCTAACCTATTTTTTGGTAAAAAGAACATTCTCACACATTATAGGAGCAAATTGCAAGTACACCATAGAGAGAAAAGAGTTTCCATATCTTGGAAGCATTTTTTTTGGGTATTACATAGTTTCCATAATAGGGGAATTGGGGGGAGGGACAGAGCAGGGTGCACGTCAGGCCCTCTGGCCATACCATGGAGAGCCTGCAGTTCCATGGGTTTGATCCTGCACCCCTAAACTACTGGGTTATCGGCTATCTTGGAAGCAAATTGGCTAGGGAGACTACTATTATCTAAATTTATTATCTCTTGTTTCCTCTTTTGGTAAATCACTATTTGCACTCTCTCTCTCTCTCTCTCTATTTATTGCATACCTCCATTCTCTTTTCATTAATTTAACAATAGCTATAACTAATAGTTGTAAATCTGTAATTGCAGTTGAGTTCCTATAATTTAAAATTTGAATTAAAAGTAAGGGCCCGTTCTCCTGCAGTGAGTCTATTCTTAGTTTTTCAAGTAAAGAAAAAAATGCAGTATTTTCTTTAACCAATTTCTTGATTAGGTAATTGAATTCTGGGTATATGTGATTCCTACATTTTTAGTCAATCCTCTCTTTTTGAAAGTTGAATCCAAATGTTTCTGTGTGTTAATTTATTTGTTCTTAGTTTGAAATTTCAAATCAGTGTTCATGCTCATTCCCCTGGGCCTATTCTTGATTGAAATATAGAGCTGCAAATCTCTACGTTCATATGCATTTCTCATGAATATTAAGCTTGATTTGCTCATTGAACTATACCTTTTGGTTTTGCCTCCACATACATTTGGTCGAGGTTTCCACTTGCAAGACGGTTTTTTTTTTTCTTTTAATTGATCGCTTGCAGACTTTATGCTTGGTAATTTCATTTGTTTCTAGGTACTGGAATTACAAGATTTCATTTTCTTAGTAACGATTGTACAGGTTTTCATTCAGTCAGACGTATTTGAAGTGGCACTTGACATGAGGAATCAGTTTGAGTCTCATAATGATATGCTTGAACATATTGATGTCATTGATCCTAGTGTAATATGTGATGATCAGGGGTGGCTTTTAAGCAACCCAATGGGGATACGGACTGAAAGGGAGATCCATGCAGAATCTGAAGGGGCAAAAATTTACAGAAGGCTGTACCAGAAACGAATGTGATTTGTCATATTTGTACAATAACACCAAAAGAGAGCACAATTAGTGAAGTCCCTCTTTTACTAATGCCTGTTCTTCTGGAATGAACTACTCTATGACTCAAAGCATTCACCGATCCATATTGCTGGTCCTTAGATACGTTTTCCCCCTTTCCCATTCCCCATATTGATGGGTTTAAAAAAGTTTTTTTACCACTCATTGTTAATTGACTAATTCCTTTCCAATACTTCCAAATTTTGGTCTTTCCTTTCTTTCCTTCTGCACCTACCTTTTACTTCTTATGTTATACCTACCAAATGGCCCATGTGATTTCTTAGTTACATCTATTTATAATTAATACATTTGTTTATTGGGAGTTCCCTAGCACACAAGCTCTTTTGCTATGCAAAATATGTTAAAATTTTTCTAGTTTGTTGGCCCAATTTGGTGGTATTTATTGTGGTTCGATATTATCTTGCACATAATGTATAGTAATTTTCTTCACTTTTTTTTTTAATGATATTAGGGATTGTTAATGGTGTTCTACAGTTGCTCCATGTCAGTTTTATCTGTAGAGGGTGTTTTGATTTCATATTTGGTGTATGCACGTCAATTTCCCTTAATAGACATTTAAAAATATATTCTTTGTTGTGTGTTTTTTCTGATTTCAAAAAACCGAGTCTGAAAGCAAAAACATGTTCTGAGTTTCTGGTTTCAAAAACACGTTTTATATGGTTATTTAATATCATGTTTCATAAATCATATAATTTTTTTACTACAAAATTTGTTTTTATTTTAAAAACCATTATTTTGGGGGGCATTTTACAACAGGAATGATTTTGTTTTCATTTGTTTTTAGAATTGCCACATCAGCAAAAAACAAAAACATGTTCTTGAACTCCTATTTTGTTTTCAAAGAGAAAAACAAGTTGACTTTGTTTCAAAAAACAGTACATGTTTTTGGAATGACTTAATATTAGTTTTTAAAACAAAAACAGTTTTTCTAGTATGAAAATTATATGATTCATGGAACATGATGTTGAATAATCAAATGAAACTTGAAGTGAAAAAAAAAAAAGAATTAATCAAATGAAACATGTTTTTGAATCCAGATTCAAGAACATGTTTTTGGTTTCAATTTTGAACACAAAAAACACATTCAACCAAGAACATGTTTCTTGTGTTTTTGTTTTGAGAAACACTCTGCTTTCAAACAAGGTTTTGATTTGTTTTTGGAATCAGCAATAAGAAAAACAGTTCACATTTATGAAAACAGGTTTTGATTTGTTTTCAGTTTTGCAAATAGAAAACACATGCACAATCGGTCAACCAAGAACATGTTTTTTAATTTTTGTTTTGAGAAACAATCTGTTTTTAAGCTAGATGGTTCCAAAAATTTGTATTGGTTTCAGAAACAAAATCCAAAGTTTTTAAAACCGACACAGAGGACGAACCAGTCAGGGGTCTAGTTCCCGGGTATCTGACAAAAAAATAAAAAAATAATAACGGTCAAAACCGTTTGAACGGTTAACTGCCCGGGTCAGCGGTTTGCTGACCAAAATCAACGGCTTTTGGGAAAAATTCGGTTTTGGGGAAAAATGGAACCGGTCACCTGACTGGTTCCCGATTTTTCTGGTCCGACCATCCGGTCAAGTCCAGTTTTTAAAACCATGACAAAATCAACTTGTTTTTCTCTTTGAAAACAAAAGCAAAGTTCCAAGAACTTGTTTCTGTTTTTATTGCTGATGTGGATATTTCAAAAACAAATACAAAAAACATTCATGTTGTAAAGGCACTCCTCAATATGATTTTTACAATAAAAGATGGCGAAAATTAAGAAGATCGGTTATGGTAAAAGATAGTCCTCTACCTCAGGAATCATGAAAAAATTTCCATCGATCTGGAGGCATAGATACTGAAAATTGAAGTAGCATTAATGCATTATGTCCAATCTTATTACCATAGATTGCATTGGTTGAAGAATGGTAATGGTGATTGGACCTTAGATCTGAAGATGATTGAAGACAGTATCTGCAGTTATTTTAAGTCATTAGTCTCAGCTGATCAACCTAGTTTTGAATCTCTGTCTGAACACTTACTACTTGTATTAGCTTGGATGAGAATATGCACCTTTGTGCTCCACCTATAGATGAGGAAATTAAAGCAGTTCTTTTAAGTGTGGTCCCTTCTGAAGGCTCTAGACCTTGATGGACTTCATTTTCTATTCTATCGAATGGTTGGAATGTTGTGGGGAAGAACCTTTGCCGTTCATTCGATCTATGTTCCACGATTCAGCTCACATCTCATCAATTAATGGCATTGTCATTGTTTTGAACCCCAAAAAGGAAGAGGTACAACTGCCTAGTGATTTTTGGCCCATTGAATTTGCAAATATTACCTACAAAATTGTGGCCAAGATATTAGCTAGCGGCCTGAAGCCTTTGTTGCACAAGATCGTCTCTCCATATCAAAATGCCTTCACACCTGGTAGACAAATACTAGACAATATAGATTTGAAAAGGGAGGTGATGCACTCCATGAGCAAACGCTCCTCAGGTACGAGCTAAAGCTTATGACTATGTTGGATGGTCATTTCTGCTTTTTATTGCATGAAACTTTTGGGTTTTTCTAAGGAGTTTTGCTCTCTTGTGAAACATTGCTTGGCTTCTTCTTCTTCTATTGGCGCACCCAACAGAACATTCAAACCAAGACTGTTCTCTATCTCCATACTTATTTATAATTTATTTGGAGTTATTTTCTAGAATGCTAATGGAGTCCATCATGACCAGTGAACTCAAAGGGTTTAAAGTTGGGAGGTCTCATTCAAGCGAATCATTGGTTTTTCACACATGACCTTTCGATTTTTGGTGAAGCAAATATGATTGAAATTCAAAAACTAGAATCCATTCTTGAGCTTTTTTGTGGTTGGTTAGGGCAAGTGGTGAACTTTGACAAATCTTCTATATTTTCTTTAGCAAGAATACACCCACCTCCTTAAAGGCAGCTATTACATGAACCGATTGGGAGTGATTGAAATGAGGAAGGATGATGTGCACTTGGGAGGTCCTCTTCTTAATGTTACCAAAAGGCATTCATCTTGGAGATTTATTGTTGATAAGGTGAATTGAAACTTAAGGGGTGGAAATCTGGGATTCTCTCTCATGCCAGAAAGGCTACTCTCTTTAGATATACACTTGCATCCTTACCCCTTTACCATATAGTCAGATGTTGTATTTTGATTTCTATTTGTCGAGAACTAAACTCTTTATGTAGAGATTTTTGGTGGTGATTAGACCTGTTCATGGGTCGGGTAGCCCGATGGCTCGGCCTGGTCCGGCCTGCACCCCGGTCGGGCTTGGTCATGTAATTAGACCCGCAGGCCTGACCTCGGGCCTAACACAGTAAGCCCGATTGTGTTACGGGCCGGGCTCAGGATTTGTCAAAAAAGCCTGGCCCGACTCAGCATTATATATTTTATAAAATACATAATATGTATTTTATATATTATATAAAATATATAAATAATATAATATTTATTGAATTATATATATTTATAATTTAATATATACATTTTTTTATTTTTTTCTTTATAATTTCTCTCTCTCTCCCTCTCTCTCTCTCTATTCAGCCGCTTCAGCAGTAGTAACAACATGAGCTAAATTTTGGACTCAGGCCCAAGCCCGGGCTTCGGGCTTTTTATGAGGGTCGGGTTCAGGCCCAAGTTGTAGGCCTGATGGTCGGGCCGGGCTTGGGCTCGGGCCTTAAAAAAATCTGTTAATACAGAGTGAAAGCCCGGCCCAAGCCCGGCCCGGCCCATGAACAGGTCTAGTGGTGACCACACATGCCTTCTGTGTTTTTAAGGTGAAGAAGAAATTGTTAACCATTTAGGTGGTGTTTGACACCGTGTTCATCTTGTGGGCGGGACCACGGTGTCGTGGACCAGTCCCGTCCACACCCCAATATAGAGTCAACGGGAAAAACTCGAGGATACGTCCCCTCCATGGTTTATTTTTGATCCCATACTTCACAGTCTCTCTGAAACCCTATTATCTGTTTCACATTGCCGTTGGAGGTCTCCACCGCCTACCTGCTGAATCTCTCCACCGCCCGCCTGCTGAAGCTTCTCCGCCACTGCAATTCTCCACCACTGGTAAGTTTCTCTCCACTCGCTAGTTTCTCTCTTTCTCTCTCTCTCTCTCTCTCTCTCTCTATTTCGCAAAGATTCATATTTCCATAGACAACCTGATGAAAAAAAGACAAATGAATGTTAGCTCATTTTTTTTATCAGACAAAACTGATGAATCTTAGCTCATTTCTCTCTGCTCGCTAGTTTCTCTCTTTTTCATCAGACAAAAAATGAATGTTAGCTCAGGAAAAACAACCGCTATTTATCAGAAATGAATGTTAGTTCTCGAGGAAAAACAACTTGCAAATGAAAGGTAGTTTGGTTTCATATACGTAGCTTTCTGTATCTTTCTGCAAGAGTACTGGCTGTTCATTTTTTTTATCAGAAATGAGCTTTTTGTAGCTTTCATTTCTATCAGAAATGAACTAAAAAAATGTTAGCTCATTTTTTTTCTATCTATGTAACTCATTCCAAATTTGATTGGGCCGACAGTGCATCTTTGAAAGGTAGTTTGGTTTCATGAGACAATTTCATGTTGAGCGTCTTGTCTTAAAGCAAATTCATCACCTGATGAGAAAACCTTGAAAAACAAGTTTGCAAAAGTTTTTTATATGCTGAGAACAGTAACCTCAACCTCTCAAGTGTTGTTAAACAAAAGATTTCACTTTGATCATTAGATCTCTTCCTTTTTAAAGAAGGGGTCCAGGGTCCAGAAACTAGGGGAGAAAAAAAAGATTAATTTATGGATTCTAATATGTAATGGATTGTTTTATCAAATTTTTAAATATTATTTTTAAATATTTAAAATATAATTTTTTAATTATTTTACTATTATTTTATAAAAAAATTAATATTTATTGGTTAATATTAATTCATTGATGCATTTTTCAAAATATTTATCATATAAAATGCAAAAATTAGATATTTATGATTAACTGTGTATATTATTCATAAAATGTATATGAGATACATGGAATCAAAAAAGTGTGGTGTGGATTGGTCCACACCACGCTACAAAATGCTATTGTGGGTGTGGGCTGGTCCAGTCCACACAGTTTGTCCACAGTTCAGAACAAATGTGGACTGTGGCATGGTGTGGATTGGTCCCTGCCACAAGGTGTGGTGTGGACTAGTCTACACCCACCAATTTCTCATCCACACTATAAAACACCCCTTTATTCTTTCACTACCTAGCAGTCCATCCAATTTGGTTTGCTTCCTCAATGGAAGGCATTGAATATTTGTAGAATCATATCTTACATCAATGGTTAGAAGAATAGTACTATGTTGATAGTCTGTGTTTAAGAATAAGCCCATCAATGATAACTAGGTTTTGATCTCCATTAACACTCATTTTTGATATCCTAAGGCTTTGTACAGAGGATAATGGATCTTCTTCAAGATCTTCAAGTTGTCCCTCACATATACACTCTTTACAATGGTCCAATAAACTTCATTAAAATCAAGGGAAATTCCTGATCAGTACCCTGCACTTTGGCTCCAGTGACAATTTGATCCCCAAACTTTAAAATGCGACAATTCAGTATCCGAACTATCAAAATGTGACAATCCAGTACCTACCGTTAACTAGTCCGTTACTCAGCTATTAAGTGACATTTGAAAAGTAAAAAAATGCCCTAAGAATGTCATCTAATTCTCTTTATCAACCATCCAAACATTGACAAATAAAATGAGCAATCCCAAATTCTAGATTCTTGTAATTAGTCACCAACTTCTTTGAATAGAAGAGGCTAGGATTTGGGACTGTTCAGTTTTTTATCAACGTTTGGATGGTTGATAAAGAAAATTAGATGGCATTCGAAGGGCATTTTTGACTTTTCAAATGTCACTTAACGGCTGATTAACGGATTAGTTAACAACATGTACCAGATTGTCACATTTTGAAAGTTCAGGTATTAGATTGTCACATTTTGAAAATTCAAATACTGGATTGTCACATTTTAAAATTCGGGGACCAAATTATCACTCCAGCCAAAGTAAAGGGTACTGATCGAGAATATTCCCTAAAATCAGTACATATGGTGCTTGGAGCTTATCCCATTCAGCAGTAGGGGTGATTGTCAGAAATCATTACTGGGAGGGCTCTAGCCATTAAATGTTCCTCCCTTGAAGAGTTCTCGAAGGCTTAAGGTGTATGTGCAAAAGCAATACAATTATTCTCAAATGCAAATATTTTTCTATTTGACATAATCAATGTTTTCCTGTGTGACATTAATGAGAATGGCACATGTTGCTATTGCGATCTAACCAGATAAATTTCTTATAGACCGAAAGGGTTAGTGAACACTGTCTACCATTTTACTGGTAAAAGCTCTATTTCTACAATTATTTCATCAACCTACAACCTTATCCCTTTGTGGATCATTGAATAGTTTTTATTTTTTCAATTAGGTTATTGGAAGAAGGTCAAAGTTGTTGAAGAGCCCCCAAGAGAGTACCTGAACCAAAAGATACAGAAGAAGAGTCTGACTTGGAAGAAGAGGATGAAGCCAAGTTATTTGTCTCTTCTTCCTTGCTGAAAATCACTTTGCTGTTTATGATATGTAGATTCTAGACATTCCAATCTTGTGGGGTTCATCGTCCACAACTGAAAATGTAGAAGAAAAAGGGTCCAAAGACCCGACTGTATAATCCAGAATGGGAGAGAGGAAAAAATGAGATAGGAGTGAGAATTTTCAGATAAAGCCCATTAATTCCAAATTCTTATTTGCAGATGACTATATGTTTTACTCAAAAACTATAATTGCAGCAGTCATTAATTAGACTCAAAGAAGTCCTAGAAAATTATGCAAAAGCCTCTTGGTTGCTCTCAAACTATAACAAGCCAACATTGGAAGTTGGTCAACCTAAGTGATTCAGTCAAACCCAAAACCCGAAAATAATCAAATGGCTGTCACTTGTGTAAAAATAAGATGCATGTAATGTGATTTAAACCTTCACCACTTGTGTAAATAACAACTATTATCACTACCAAACTATAAGCTTATGACTAACTTATTTGTTAAGTGGAAGTTAATTTTTTTGTTTTAAGACATAAATATAAGATTAATGGATTTGGGCGGATTGGATTGGGTCAATGTGGGTTTGGATTGAATTCAATCCATCTAATTTTATATAATTGGGTCATTAATAGGTTGATGGGTTAGATGGATTGAGTTGAAACTCAGTCCAAACCAAACCCAACCCAACCCGCTCAATTGCCAAACCCAAGCCAACCCAACCTGCTCAAAATCATTTAAATTGTGCTTGCTTGCGGTGTAATTAGGACTGATGTAATTAAACACTTCGGTCATGTATTTGTTGGTGTTTGGATGGAGTGTATTTAAATATTGAAAATCAATGTAAAATTCCATTTACATCATCAAGTTTTGTATTGATAATTGATATAAATACAGCTACTTCGATAAAAATAGTGTAAATATTTACATCGATAATCATACTTTTCAATTTACAACGGTTCATAACTTTAAATCAATCGGCGTACAACTCCATCGGTATATTTTTACTTTTACACCGTATTCAAACACAGCCTTAATTGTTGGACCCAGTTGGACATTACTTCACAAAAATTGATCAAAATATCTGGATGCATCAGAGGATTTTTTCTAAATGGATCATTTCTATCATTCTCTAAATTTAAAATTGAAAGATCACACATTGGTTGTGTTTTTCTACAAACAACTTGATGGTTGAACTAAGCCTCTGGCTATTCCGCCTGCATTGGCGCAAGATGATTCCACGTTTTGGTTCTTGCAACTGAGTTTTATATCTTCTAATGTGATATCTGTACATGGGTGCTTGGAGCTACAGTCCAATTTCACAGCCACTTGTGTTGCGGACGTTCCTTGGATGTGTTTGTATGTCACCTTGCTGATTTTTACGCCTGATGCCTGTATACATTATATCACAACCACTGTTAGTAAGCTACTAAGCTACTCTTTCTTTTAACTGGGTAATCATGGCCCTAGAGGCCCATGTCCAAGCCCATCAAGTAAGAAATAATCCTTGGATCTCCTACCCACCCCTCATTATAGCTGTACATTGAGAATATCTCCCATATTTGCATAGGGAGACGTTCCCAATGTACAGCTATAGTGTCATGTGGGTAGGAGATCTGAATTGGTGGTAACGTACCTGATCAGGGCAGCCTACGTTATGAGGGCAGTAATTTTGGTCAATTATAATGGGATTCTGGACATTCTCCATGGTGGCATTTTGGAAAAGGACCCCTTTCACAAATCCGTTACTGGGCCTTCCCCAGCTCTTAATCCTCAGCCCATTTTGAGTACCGTTAAAAGTAACGGTTTTAACTGTCACGTTTTGCACTCCCGGTTCGTTGAGAGACCGTCCAAGGCTTCCAATGCTGCAGAAAAATTGCTTGAGCAGTGTTTCCCATATCAAAACAACAAGACATATTCATAGTTTTAATTAATTTCGCCGAAATTTCATGAAACTTTGCAAGATCTTCACTTTTTTGCTCAGCATTTGAAGATTTCAATGAAAGTCTGGTGTATTCAGGAAAAATTGACGAAATAACTAATAATGATTATGTAATATACATAAAATTATCTATTTTGATCAGCATTTGAAGGATTTTTAAAAGATTGAATATAAAAAATGGAAATTTAGGTTTAAATATGTAGTAGTCTGGATATAGAACAAATGTGGTGAAAATTGACCATTTGAGGTTCATCAAAATCAGAATCAAAACGGGATCTATTCCCATAATCTGTTTGGTTTAAATAGAAATGGGAATGAGAATTGGAAACAGCTGGAATGGGATTTCATTCTTAAGGGAGAGGAGAGGGAATACCATTCCATCAGGAATGAGAATGGGATTTTAATTTCGCCCAACCAAATAGTTGAAATTGGAATAACCCATTTCGATTTAGATTCCAAATCCAAACTCCTATTCCCCTGAATCAAATGAGCCCTGAACATTTCAGAAAAATATATAAAACTATGAAGAAAAAAACTTAGATGAAATAAATAAAACTTTAAGAGAGTGAAATGGTTCTGTACAATCTCACAGAACAAATGAATCCCTCAATTCATAAGCTTTCGTATTGATGCATCATGTGCAGCACATAGTGCAAAGAGTATATCTCACCTGATGCCATGTCCAGGTCCACAAACGATGTTCTCGATCCATAAATTGGTCGTGCCGGGGCCAATTGAAATGCAATCATCTCCGGTCATGATGTTTGATCTCAAGATTGTGACTCCGGTCGACAATTCTACATGAATTCCGTCGGTGTTGGGGCTGTTGCCTGAGGCCATGATCGTGACCCCCTGCAAATAGACGTTCTGGCAACCGTCGATAACAATGTGGAATAATTTGCTGTTTATCGATGATAATCCTCTTATCACAATGTTTCTTGAGTTAACGAAGGAAAGAGACTGCATAAACAAGCATTGGTAAGGCAAAATTATGAGATATTATAGATTCTCCTGGTGGGTATCTTAGGTTCAGAAAGTTATTTATCTAGGTAAATGCATTTATTTGAATATAAGTATTTTTTTTTTTTGAAAAATGTTCTGATACTATCATGGAGATGTTTCCAATACAGGGTGGGGATCTGCTGTGGGATGTTGTGGGTAGTCCCTTGTGGGGAGGAGATGTGATATCGCAGATAAGAAAATATATTTTCTATGAACCCCACAAAAAAACATAAATATCTTGCTTAATAGAAACCAAAATCCCATATCACTGACCAGCTTTCCCCCTCTACAAAAATCCAGAAAACCAACAGGTCCTTAAAAGAAATCAGAGTTTAGATTATTTGTTTACGGGTTTTTGAGAATTTGGTGTACCCTGGCTCCGACTGGGCAACTCTTCCCTGCAGCCTTACAAGCCCACAAAGACGACCCTTGCCCATCAAGGGTCCCTCCAGAAATGGAAACTCCATTGACGCCCTGGAATGTAAGCCAGTATCCAGAGCTGCCGAGAGCCCAGTAGTCGGACGGGGCCACCAGTGTCCCGTCGATACGTATTGTGATGCCTGTGCTTCTGCATGCTCCGCTGAAGACTGCATGGTTGAGTAAATATCTTCCTGGTGGCACGTAAATCATCGCCGAACTGGCCGAACCACAGGCCCCCGTCCATGCATTGAGAAATGCGCTGGTCGAGTCAGTTGTGCCGTCTGGTTTGGCACCATAACTGACTACGTTATAACTTGCTGTTGAATTGAAGAAGAAAAAGAAGAAGAGAAGTGGGAGAAGAAAATTCATGGGCTTCAACATTTTAATGAGAGAGAGAGAGAGAGAAGGGGAGGAACTGAATGATGGAGACGTTTTTAGGAGGCTTTTCCAGAGCTATTTATATATAGGATTTGATGGTGCTGGAAATGGAATTAATAAAGGAAATAAACACTGTAAACTAATATTTAAAACCAGAGATTATGGTTAATTACATATGCCATCCATTAACCATTAATGGTTAATGCTGCTGCATGCTCCACCATATCTAAACGTTGATGCATGTAGCCATGCACTTCGGTTCGCCGGAGAGATTTCAAATTCTTGATCACTAAAAAGGCCAATAGGTCGTTGGATTAATATTGTAACAGCTCGATTGTCACTTTGTTATAACTTTGAGGGGTTAGGTAATAGCTCGACAAGACGACAACAAATCATAAGAAAAAAAGTTTGGGATTTTCTTTAGCTTTTCTTATTATTCTAACAGAAATGAGCAGTAAAAGGGGACTTCTAAAAAGGGTTTCTGTTGAGGAAACGAGATGAATGTTCTTCTCTTTGGATCTTTCTATCACTTTCAACGGTGCAAGTGCACCACTCACGATGGACACGGTGGGTCACGTGCCCGAGCCATGACAATGCCTCGTTTGGGCCACCATGAGCCAGTCACTCTCAACATCAAGGAAAGGAATTAAGGTATTCTCACTTAACTAAAAACAAAAAAAAAAAAAAGAAAGAAAGGAAGATGGGTCTCTTCTCTTAGGCATTGCATTTGAGCAACATCGATCTTTTATTCATAGACTCCCTCAATTTGCACTTTGTGTATTACTTTGGGCTTAGTCAAATAATGATCTTAACCAGTGTTTTTAAACGGTTGTTGATTTGGATGGTTGGACCGTTTGACCTGAAATTATTTGGGTAATTGGTTTCATTTCACCCTTAATTCATTTATTGACAAAAACCATTGATTTGATTAGAGGATCTAGGCAGTTCAACCTTTTAATCTATTCGACTTGGAAAACGGTTTTTGGCTGTCTTTTAATTTTAATTTTTTTTAAATCAAAATGAGTTACTCTTTCAAGTCAAATGGTCAAATTGCTGACCCAAAAACCAGTGGCCAAAGTGATTCCAGATCTGAATCAGTTTTTAAAACATTGATCTTAACAGTGCAAGGTGAAATAGGCATTACTTAAAAATTAAAATAATGTCTCTCTAATATTGTTTTTCCTGACTAGTAATTCTAGAGAAGGGTGCATGTACAGGTGTTGTGTCGTTGTCATCACTGTCAAAGATTACGAGCAATACTGTATATGACTGGGGTTATCTTTCTAGCCCGTCCCGGCCCGGCCCATGGTCTGAGGACAAATTTTGTGAGGACTGGATCTAGTCTCGGTCCATCATAGTGTATAGGGTCCAGCTGTTTTTACTTTTCTCTCTCTTAGGCTAAGTTTGAAAAGAGTATAAATACAAATATATACAATATAAATATATACAAAATAGTACAAAATACAAGATTTTACACTTTACAAATTTGTATTTTTACTCCTTCCAAACTAAGACTGACGTGCATATCCTCCTCCTAGATATGTGAGAGGATCAAATGACGAGCTGATTTCTTCTGCCATGGTATGTGATATTATAGCAAATGGAAGCCGTAAGGCCCGTAATATAGGATGAGGAGAAGGTGCAAATTAAGTTCGGTAACGATACAGGGGCTGTTTGGTAACAATTGAAATTGCTGAACTAAATGATTTATTATTTTTTAATGATTAAAATGATTAAATAATAAAATATTTTAGGATGGGTTTTTTGCTTCAAAAACGGATTTTGAAATCAACGGGTTTTGGAATTTTAAAACCTATGTATTAGCTGTTAAGTTTAAAAATATTTTGAATTCTATATAAAGGATAATTGGAAATAATTGGAAATTTTGATGTTTGTTCATGTTATTTTATTTGTTTATTGTTTATATGTAATAAGAAATGATAAGAAATTAGATGTGGATATTTGGTCCCAACCTGCCCCACCAAAGGTTCAAAATTTTGATATGATAATGCCCCATATCATATCGAGGTGTGGCCCCTACAGGGGCCGTATCGGACATATCATATCATATTATTGACTTAACAATACACCCTTACGGGGTCATATCGGGGTGTGACCTGGTTCAGGGGGGTAGTTAGACTGAATCCTCTAAACCAATTTCAAAGAAAAAAAAAGGAGAGCGAGCTTTAATACGGGCTGATACGCCCTACCGATGTATTAGCCTATATCGATATTTTAAACTTTGGCCCCACCCTTAAATGTGGAGAGGATAGGGCCGGTCATAAAAGGTTTTGCTTCAGATACAAGAAGGGTTTGAATTCTAAAAAATCCAACCCACTATGAATTTTAGAGAGGGTATTGTAATTCTGAAAAATTACAATTTATTATTATTATTAAAATGAAATGATGAAATGTCAGTCAATCCGCGGGAAGGAGGAACTCCGTTACGGGTTACTGATGCAACTTCCATTACCTACTCTACGACATCGCATATGAAGACACTTGGTTCGGGAGATGGAGTTACAGGTTCGGTTTTACCAGGGGAGCTTCGAGGTCACGGAAGAACAATACAGCGATGCTCTCGAGATTAATCTCGATCATATCATGTCGACACCAACTATGACAAAAACAACATTCATTCCCAGCTACGGAGATTGGTGGAATGGTTGTTTAAAGATGAGTAGTTGCAGAGCATCTGCCCTCATTTTTTAGAGAATTTTGTCTCAACATACTTGTGATGGAAATACTCCGAGGAAACACACCCACCACTCATTTCAATCAAGTACCCAAATCCACACTCTTTTCTTTCTTCACACAAATATTCCTAAAAAAAAGTAAAAATGCGAACGTCTTCATCCCTTCATCCCTTCATTCGCGACCTTTTCATCTTTCGCTGAGGCTGAAGGGGAAGGATGAGATGCATAGAGGCCAACCGACAGCATGAGGATGCAGGAGCCGTTACCGAAAATGATTAAGGCCTTCAACAAATTAAACGGTGTGGCCAATGCAGTGAGACCAATGAATAAGTTTTATTTTTTAACATATTCCCTCACACAAAAGCACATTGGACTTGAAGTGTAGACGGTACAAATCCATCCATACCTTGTGCTGAAACTTAATTAATTATAATGGGGATAATGAGAATCAAACACTATACCACTTGGTTAAAGTGGCTCTGATAACATCTCAAAGAACCATTGAGCCTAAAAACTTAAATTGTTAAGTGAGGTCTTTTAATAGGTTTTATTCTCAAATACTCTCATCCTTCAGCAAACTGTGCTGTGCTAGAACTTTCAGAGGCGCTTTTAATGGGAACCTATTTCACCAGTATTATGCAGAAGGGGACTCTTGTTGCTAATGCCTTTCAAGGAATCCCAAGGAAAGGATTCCTTGCTCTTCGCTTGATTGCTTTCTTCTCCGGTTGCTGCTGGTACCTAGGTCACTTGCATTTAGTTAATTCGAGTTACAAAGCATCTACCCTCCTTTTCCCCTTCTCTCCTATCACAAATTTTTTCATTCTCTAGATTTGAACCTTGAGAAAAAGGGTAGTTTTCTTGGCGTTGGTGACCCTTTCCGCATACCCATTAAATTAATTCATTCATTCCAGTAGATGGTCATTTAGGACAATACAGGTATGAGAATCATCATAAGGAGATTAGTTTAGGTTGGGAAATGTATTCTATCAGCTCTAGAATGGCTCCCATCCCATGATGTCATGCTATCTATTGAATCTATTCTCTCCCTTTTTGTTGAAGCATTCTTGCCTTCAAGTACTAAGATCATTGTTAACTCGGCGAGATACGTGTGCGCTGCGTCTGTGTACCAATTTCTGTAAGTCTTAACGATTCCAATGTTCCTCTCTGCAAATGGATTCTTATAGTTGCAAAGCATGTAACCATTGAAAAAATTTGTATATATAGAGAGAGAGAGCAATGTGACATTAACCAGTCAAATCTCCAACGGGATAGAGGTCTTGGTCTAGGCTTTAATGAGTCCAACCACAAAGGGTATTCTTGGAATTTTGAAATATATATTGGTCACATGATGTTACAAGTCAACGGTGTGTGATAGAAAGTTAATGGTGATGAGGGCGGATTTGGCCCTCCAGTGAAATTGTGACACCTAGCACCTCATGCAAACCAAATGCAGCCTCTTAACAACTTGGCAGCTCGAACAGCTCGGGCAACTCGGCACAGCTCGGCCAGCTTGGCATAGCTCGGGGAGCTCGGTATAGGTAGGGGCAGCTAGGCATAGGCAGCTGGCCACTCCACAGGCAGCCTGGCATCTTACGATGAACTCGCCACTTAGGGGCAACTCGGCATAGGCAGCTGGCCACAGGCAGCTGGCCACTCCACAGGCAGCCTGGCGTTTTACGAAGAGCTCGCCACTTAGAGGCAGCTCGGCATATCACAGGAAGATCTCCTACCTGACAACCGTACTTGACAGATCCGGAGGCCTGCGCCCACGTCTCTCACTAGGCGGCGCCGTGCCTGCCAGTCCTAAGAGCTGTCCCTTGACTGGCATAGCCGTATTCTGAAGCAGTCGCCTGCACCCGCCACCTCAGCTCTGGCAGTAACGGCTGTGGAGAGAGACAGAGGCAGTTACGCCTGACTTGACAGAAGCTGTTACGCCTGATTTGACAGGACACCACTATATAAGGACTCCGACCCCCAAAGAAAAGGGGGAGAGGATGAAAAAAATAGAGGTAATCCCTGCTCTCTAGCTCTCTCATTTCTCCAATATAATCTTCAAGTTCTCTACAATTAGAGTCCTAACTTAAGCGTCGGAGAGTCCCCGCCAGGAAAATACCATTGGGTCCTCTGATTCAGTTCTCGTAGGTCCCTCAACTCCCGCCGCCTACAAAGAGGTGGAAAAGATGGAGTTCTCGCAAGTCCCTCAGCTCCCACTGCCTACAAAGGAAAGATCACCTCATGCAGAGGGCAGTCGGGTTGCGCTGCACCAGGGAGCTCCACCATTTTATGAGTCACAGG